CAAGTGAGGTTTACGTTCAATAGCCGTGCGCACCTTTGAAATTCTGTAGTGTACAACCACGAAAGCGGAATAGAGAATCAATCTATACATCACAATATCTAAACCTTCTAATGTTTTGCCTCTCTCAGGATTTATTGCTCCATTCCAGTAGAGTGTTAAATATAGTAGGCCAATGACTTTCAGTCAATGTTAATGCTCGTTTCCTTTCATCGAAAGGGGGGCCAGCTAGTTATAATATAATTACATTGTATACTGGTGACAAAAATAAGTTGCAGTCAGTATTATATATAAAGGATCACAATAAAGTTAACCAAATACAGTCAAACATGCTTTAAACGCCACCTGTCCCAGATAAACACCTGTACAAACGACTACTCCCCCCCCCCCACCCTTGCTCTATGACACAAATATTATGACACAGCATGAGACATCCACCTAAGAGTAAGACAACCACTTTTCTCCTTGACAATTGGGTAGCCGTCTTGGATAACTTTGACTATATATACGTAAAAGGAACTGAAACCAAAAACAATGCATGAAATACCCTTAACAATGAAAAAAAAAATGCTATAAAATATCCTTTAGTGTAATGTGTTTCTACTTGACAACCACCCCCCCCCCCAAAAAAAAAACAAAAAAAACCAACAACAACAAACAAACAACAAGCATACAATATATAGGGTTTTTTTTATCAGTCTAACTGAAAAACTCAAAAGATCTCATCTAAAAGCAGAACCTAGAGCCATAAAAAAATATATTATCACTGACTTCAGGAGTTTGAATATTGAGTCACTTCATTGACAACCAATACACTGTATACTCCCTGTTCAACTACGGCAATGAAAATGACATCTTTTTTTTTCTCTTTTATGAAGAGAACACTTTTACTTCACACCCATTTTTTTGGGGGGGGGCAAAGATAAAAGAACATAAAATGGTCTCTAAAACTAAAATAAGCCCACACTTTTAAAAAAAACAAACATGATACAAAGACACATACTTCAGAATGATACAGTGTACTTCATCTGTGAAAGAGCCTGTGGTAGTCACAGTTTCTACTTTCTCATCAAGCTCATACTCATACAATACAGTGTGGTCAAATTCAGGACATTCCTTCTTTTTTACAATTAAATGTCTTAAAATTAAAAGAAATACAAAAGTCAAGTTCTTCTGGAAGGACAGTATGGTGACAGGAAAAGTATTCAAATTCAAAGAAAGAAGAAAAACTCACAAAAACTCCTCGAGCTTGAGCCCTAAATCTTGGTGCTTGGGCGAAATTTATCACACATAGAATAAGTGTATTTTTTATTCTATTGACTCGATGTTAATAATCGTTTTACAGATGGGGCATTCAGCAGTAATATTTGAAAACACAATGTACACTTCTCGAGCATACTCACAAATATACGCAACACATCTTTAGTTTTCCATCCAGTAGCTCAACTTTTGGGCTTTACCTTCTGAATCTTCAGCTCAAATCAATTACCCAATGGGCACTTATTTTATTCAATCATGTATAAAATGCTATGGCATTCAAAGCTTCAAAAGAAAAATATGACATATGCCAAATAATTAAAAACATTTCATACATTTCTGAATTCTTTAAAAAAGTGGAGAAAAAAATCTCACTCCAAACCCTGAAACGATAATATAGATCTATGAGCCTTTCCTAAAAGGTCGTCATTCTGAGGTATTGTTCTCTTTGTAGATGTATTCAGAGAGAAAGGCAATGGAAATCCAATCATATTTGGTGTCCACAGATATGAACTGGGAGAAAAGTTAGATAGGGAAAGTCATTTTTTGTAATTATTAAGAAAACATAATGCCTATTTTTAGCAGTATTTTATGCAACTAAAGGGGGGCACTAAATATAGAGTGTTTTGTCTCTGATTGTAAGAAAAATGAAGAACACGTAGATAAAAAGTGTTATTTGTGATGGAAAAGGGAAAGTCAAGTGCTAATTTAAGACTAGTCCCGTCAAATTATACGAACTGTAAACTGAGTATGACGCCTTTGAAATTTGACTCCCCAGTAATAACTCTTGTCATGAAAATATATTCTTTACATGTTCATCCATCCAATTGACTGATAAGAATTTTCATAGCTTTAGCAAAGTTCTGGTATTGGCGATGGCATTCCAGCAGGTAGAAGTCATATTTTCTTGAAAAAAATGATGGGAAATGATACCTTACAAAGGTAGAATTGTTTGTCGTGAGAAAGTTATTTCCATAAGATGCGCCAATTTTTGGAAACACAGTGTCGATTTGCTGTCACATTCGTCTTGCACCAGAAGTTCATATACCTCCCTATGGTGTGATGCAGTATCACGGACATGTGACTTCAACTTATCCAGCAAGACGCAAGTATGTCTTTCATGAATGATTTACAAAAAGTTATTTTCATAAGATTTTGGGCTCTGAAGTTGTGTCCGGTCCACATTTTAAAATGAAATTTACACACTTTAATCATTTACTGAGCTTCTGTGGTAGTTGGATGAGAAGAATAGCCACGTACGTCCTTTTTATGCCAAAAATGAGACTAATGGCCTAATGACTTTGAATTGGGAGAGAATATAATCATTATAATGGTTTTTCACGACATTGTATTTGTTGTGAACGTTATATATCTGTCTTTTGCTTTCTTGTGAGTTGTATGCCTTAGCCAGTGTTCTTGTTTGGTGTGTTTGATCTCACTCTTGGTATTATTCTGTCCCCGTGGTTTTGTGCGAAAATAATTCTGAAATTATGCAAACTGAGCCCAAAAATGTGAAATTATGCGATTTTGTTAATTTTGACAAAGAACAATAAAGGAAAATAATCAGAAAATAGGCAAAAAAATGATCAAATTTTGCTAAATTATGCGGGGTGCATAAAACTATGGGGACAGATAATTGTGAGAGATCATGACTTGCTGTTTTTATCGTAAGATCCAGATTTATAGAAAATTTACCTTTCTCTTCCATTTGTCTTTAAAACCCAGGCGTTAGATATCTAGACTGAGAAATAGATCTAGTTCTTCAGAGCAATTTTGACGTGAATTATTGTAGAGTTAAATCTACACAAATAAGAAGTGTGGATTTCATGCTTATTTAACAGAAAATCTGGATTCAGTCTTATTTATGTCGCCTCCTTTGACCATGCAGAACTTTCTGTTGTAATGAAGAAGTCAGGTACAAGTGCAAGCGGAAGATGCACACAGCACCAGACTTACTGCAGGGAGTGCACAGATAATCAGTTCAGGGAGAGAGATGAGACTTTTCCCATTGATATTTTAAGCATTTACTATTAAGTTTGAGGTTCATTATATATATAGTATGTTAATTTTCTTGTCGTGAGAGTTATGTCTATAATAATATCATATTTAAGACTTCTTTTTATGTTATTTTGTGTAAACAGACCAAATTTTCTCAGCCACATTCCCCATTTGAGTGGTGTTTTCCTAAATATTGTTGATACAAGTTGAGCTGAAAAGAATTTAGAGCTGTATAAATGTTATAATATTATTGTCTTATGGGTATAACTATCACGACATAAATGTCTACCTAGTGAAGGTGGTAATCTTGAAAAGTGAATTATGTGTTCAAATACCACGTTTGTACCCTAAAGGAACATTGAATTTGGCTGAAATTTTAAAAACTTCCATTATTCTAATGTGAAATAAGACATTTATGTTGTGAGAGTTACGTCCATAAGACAGACAAACATTGATGAAATGTGTTTGAAATTTTGTTAACAGAAGTGTCAGTTTCATGGACAGTATTATTTTCTGAAAATACGTAATAAAAGCTTGTGAAACTCCATTATTTTGAAGCTGTTGTCTCACTTTTAATTTGTATGCCTCCTGTCACCCTTTCTGTCCTGAGGTTTTAGGAAAGGTTCATATATTATATTCTATCTCCTCCGATAAACACTACAAAAAGAAAGAACAAGTGAGGCAATCAGAATCTCTGAAATAACAAAATGCTAATAATCTTTAAATATCATTTTGGCTTGTACAATTCTCTTTAAGTTGCAGCTGCCATAGACACTTTTCGCATGCCTCTTTAAAAAACAATAAATACTTAGACCTCTGTTCGCACTTCTTTTTTCTTTTTTTTTTTTTTTGGAGAGGAGAGGGGTCATTTTACAAACCATTCTGCACAAAGGTTATACAATAAGGAAGATTTTTCAATTTTGTCTGTGTCATTGACAGGACAGAGAAAGAAAGTCTTTGGCAAATAAATCCGTACAATCAACATCCCCCCCCCCCCAAGTACTTTTAAGGGGGTGTAGCTATGGTCAACACCCAAATGCTGTAGTTTTTGGTCTAATGCTTGCTTTTCTGCATCAAAGGGGGTGACATAGTACAAAAAAAGGTTACCAAGCAAAAAATTCAAGATTTTAGCCATAATAATCTCGAGCCATCAAAAATAAAGGATTGATTCAGCATTTTTAAAAACAAATTTATATTTTGTCAATCATCAACACTCATCAAGATAGAAGCCTAATATTTGGCATGGCCATTACTGTTGGTAGGTAGAACAACCTTACAAAACAAATTTGAAATTTCTGTACTGACTTGTGAGCCTTACAGTCCTTACTATGCGCTACATTCAGGTCTCCAATGTTTTAAGATTTTGTAAAATAAAACAGGCCTAAAACTCCAAATGTGTACCATAAACAGCAAAAATGCTCCTGTAAAGTTATAGAGAAATGTGTATAAAAGATTGTGTCCAAATGTGAAACAATTCTGACAGTAACTTTCTGAGATCTACTCAAAATAGTGTTGCTACCTGGTCAGATAAACAATTGTGAGAAAACTGCAAAGAGAGATAATTTTTGGTGAAGATTTTCCTACATTGCTGCCTCTCTTAAATGCATTTTCCAGCTATATCTAAGTTTGATAAAGGAATTAGGCTTCTAAAGATGGATCCTTGATATTGATATCTATTAAGATACTCCAAAATCCGAAAACTGATATTTTTTCAAAATTTTTACTGATCTGACCAGTGGATCCCCTTAAATGTCTCTCACAAAAACACCAAAAACATGTCTTCTGCAGACAAGAAAGCAAAGAATTCCATTGTAGCCTATTTGACTTGAATTCAACCAATTAAAACATTCTAATCAAGGTATTAACATGTTCAAGGTGGTTTTAAAACAGGGTCACATTGTGGAGAAGACACCGTAGCCGAATTAATGTCGGTATTTTTACACAATTTAGATAATTTAGGAGGTAGGCTTCCAACCCTGCCTGTAAGAACCAACCTGGGCTGAGATGGAGGTAACATCTCTACAGAAAGACCAAGACACCTGATAAACCACCCAACCCCCCACCCCCCTCAGGAATCTCCTCCATGCCACAGCAAAGAGCCCAACTGCTACACCACAAATGTCAGTCCCGAGAAAAGTGCCAAAACAGTCAAAGAAAAGCACAATGTTGGACTAAAAAGGATATTGCAAACAAATGGAAGCATCCTATTATTGACAGTATTGCCTCTGACGAACATTATGAATGTCATTTGGCAACCAAATGTACATTTTATATTATCATGACAAGACGTCTTGATCTAGATGCTGTTTTGTAAATCTTATTGATACTGGTTGGGTGATAAAACTGATCAAGGCCCATCTATTGAACTAAGGCCCTGTTTTCCAGCAGACAAAGCCACAATCCACCCGTTAAGTAAATCTAAGAAGAGCAAATTTTACTTGTGAATGTCAGTAAAGTGTTGAAACTGAATATTTTAGTCAAAGTAATAATAAACTAAATAAAGGTTTTAAAAGATTCCTTGCAAATGATTTCTCAAGATGAATATTTTAGTTAAAGTAATAATAAAATGGTCCCCGTTTTAAAACATCCTTTGCAGAAAATTTCTCCGAAGAATTTTCGACGGCAAAACAAGGAAAACAGTTGTCAACAGCCTCGCCGCACCAACCGAACTTCGTATAGCTGGCTGTACACAGCTGAGATCTGCAGACAAAAAAAAAGGAACTTTTTTATTTAGATAAGTTCAACATCAAACTAAATTCAGATGGGGGGGGGGGGGGGGGGTGTCCAAAAAAGAGACTCAATCCCACTAACAAGAAGGGCAACTCTTTAAGAAAATTAGTCTATCCCCAACATGTTTGAGTTATCCCTACCCAACTGTAATTTAAATAACAAAGGAAAAAAGCCCTCACCATCCCTTCTGTAGCGGGAAAGCATCAGCTTCACTTGGGTGCATACGCTGAACAAAACAAAACTCACCAGTGGCTCTTCAACCTCATTTTCTTCATCACTGAATGTCATCTCAAAACGTCCAGTCCGCTTTTTAGGAGCTGAGAAAAAAGAAAAGAGGCAGAAAAAATACAACAATTAAGTAGACAGTGTGTAATAATATTTCATGGCTACCAAGACGGATCGCTTGTAAGAATAAAACAAAGCTTAGTAAAGATAAGCCTATCAAATCAAGGCCAAAGCTATTCAAACAAAACAAATAAAAAGAATATAAAAGTAGGTTTAATTTTCAATCTACCTTTTTACCACTCAAGGAAAAACAGAGAAATCAATGTGACATGCATAAAACTTTTCATGATTGAAATTCTCAGCGCTATTTATTATCACACTGAAAATGATTTCAAACATCATAAATGGCATCCATTCATCAACAGAAATCTTTCACTTTTATCGACAGTTTTACAGTCCAATCCTGCTATACAACACCCCCCCCCCTCTTAAACCATCACCCCTTCTTACCACCAGGTTTTGCCCTCAGTGAACTAACAATCAGAGGTGCACACTACAACCTGTGCATGTCAACAGTGAATATGGAGTAAATGATAAATTGGTATAATCTTAGACCTTGTTCATTTGTATTGTGTTTTATTTCTTTAAAAATACCTTACTATCTTAAAAAGAAGACGGACGAAATACTTCAATTAAAGGAGATGGGGGGGGGGGGGGGGGGGGGGGGGGTTGTTCCCCTGGTCAAGTAAAATTAGCAAGAAAAGTTTATTTCATTGTTCATCCTATTAGCATGAAACTTTCTGGAAACCTTCACCGCATGCAAACAAAGTTTCACACAGAAGAAAATTAGAAAGACTTTTTAAATACGGTACTTAATAAATTCCAACAGATTGTGTAAGCTAAATTAGTTTACAACTACACACGTCAGTAAAATTACAAAAACAGATTCTTTGAAACATATTTCAAAATTATACAATGAGAGTTACTATAAACAGAGGCAGTCATTTACTCTAACCAGGTTGGGAAAAGTTGGTCAAAAAATAGTTTTTAAGCCTTATGAATATATTTCATGTCTATTTTCAAGATGGCCCTAGTTTCCAAAGCAACCATAGCAAGCAGGCATACACCATGGGGTTAATGTAAAGATTTCACAATATTTTAATCATATATGTATCTCAGGTTATTGATTTAGAAAACAGGTCTCAAAAGTTGTCCATGTCCTTAACAGAAGACATCATAAAAACCCTGTTATACTGCCAATCTCACTATTCCGCCAACTTCATGCTCATTCCAAGGATGGCAGTATAACTGTGTTTGACAATAATGATAATGCAATCTGTTAAAATTTGTTAACACCAAATGGCCGCTTCTTCAAAGTGTTTTCCTGAAAACAGATTTCACATCAAACAATAACCACTCCTTGTGCTGTTGTTGTGGTTGTTGTTGTTATCGATCCAGCAACAGCTGGGCTCTTGCCCTTCTGTCCACTGCCATGTAGTGATAAGTGCAGGTTTGCTGCAGTAGCTGTAATGTTACGTAGAGTGTGTTGATAGTGTTAGGTCTCGGAGGGAAAAATGTAGCTCTGAAGTTATTTAGGGCTGTACAGACAAAAAGGCGATGATCCACAGTCTCATGCATAGTCACACAAATACAAAGGACACATTGGGGGAAGTTCTGGTTTTATTCTATTCAAGTAAAAGTTCAGCAGTATATGTTCTGTTTGTAGGCGGAAGATCGACAGTGTTTCTTTCTCTGTAGGTGGTTGGTATTTTTGTTTTGTTGTGGTCACACGTTTGAAAACTGCTCTACCTGTCTTTCCCAAGGCCATCTGTTCATTCACTCTTGTTTGCTGTTGCTTTTAATGATTGTTTTGCAGTGTTGTATGAGGTTGGAGTGTTGAGCTGTTACTGTCAAGATCCCCTTTTGGCGAGTGTATCAGCTCTGTCATTTCCAGGTATGTTTGAATTTCTGGGAATCCACTGCATCACCAGGTTGAAGCCACAGGATGTTATCAGGTGATGTGAGCCAAAGAGTATATGTGTCAAGTCTTCGTTTAGATGGTGGTCATTTTCTATCGCTTGCAAGACTAATAGAGAGTCAGTGAAAATCACATTACTCAGTGTTTTGTTTGGATAAATGTCAAAAACTGTGCGGAGATGGTATGGTGCTGTTTCAAAAGCCATCATTTCTGCATCGTAGTTGTTGCATTTTTCTCCACAGGCTGCAGAGATCTCATTGGAACTTCCATCTGGGTACTGTATGAGTATTCCATATCCGGCTTTGGTTGAGCCTTTGAAGGCTGAGCTGTCTGTATAGACGTGCATCCAGTGATCTGAACAGCTGTCGATTGTTTGATGTGATACAAGCATCAGCGTCACTGGGTCTGAAAATTTTGTGCTATTGTCTCTGAGAGATGTTGTTATGATTGGTTTGCCCAAAGAAATGTGGGGAGGAATGTTTTGGTAGACTCTTTTCGTTTCTCTTCTGTTTTGTGATAGATGGTGACTCTCCATTACTTCTGTGATGTGATGCATGATTGATAAAAAAAAATTTTTGAAGTCGTTTCTTTGGTTTCCATATTTTTACTAATTTCCTGTTTGGGTGGTTGGGGCAAATTCTTTTGGTTCTTTCGAGCTCAAAAACTGCTTGATCTCTGCAAATTCCCAGGGGTTCAACATTTGTAAGAATTTCACACGGGGCAGTAGTTGAGTAGGTGTAGATCTTGAGCCACCGTTTATGAAACGAAGGGCATTATTTTGGACTTTGTCAAGGGTATTGCAAGTAGTTGTACTGCACATAGTGAGTAGGCTATTGCTGTATTCCAGGAAAGATTGGACATAACCAAGGTATGGAGCTCTCAAAGTTTGTTTGTCTGATCCCCATGAATTGCTTTCAAGTTTCTTTAAAAGTTGGAGCCTTCTTTTCGCCTTGTTCTTTATGCTGTCCACTTGGCTTTTCATGGTCAGACTTTGGTCAAGCTTGACTCCTAGGTATGTTGGTTGTTTTTCTTAAAATACAAAATGAGAAGAAAAAAAAATCTTTTCCCTCTTGAATTTGAACATCAACTTCAGAGCTAAAATTGGTTCATAATGTCAGAGCAGTGATTAACAGAAAAGAAATCATCATTTTGTGTATAGTCGGGCACAGATAACACAAACACTTAAATTAAAAAATCATAGAAAGCTCATACAATTTGCTATTCCCTACTTATTGTCTTTAATTTCTCCTCATCGATTGACCCAAATTGTGTATGTGTTGAACACATTTGTCAATCCTTGAGATGTTTGAGATATCCCTGCCCAACGGTGTGCATTCAAGTATTTCCAACTCACCTTCTTGTCGGTCAATTTCAATTTCAATGTTGTCATTCAGACAATCATACAGGATTACTCTGCCAATCTGTGAAGGTACATCAGAACGTACATCATTAAATTTAAAAGAAAATCCCCCCCGTCCCCCCTACCATAAATTCTAGTACAGCCAGTTCATTAAATTAAGAAAGTAAGACATAGACAAGGAAAAAGTTAAATTTCAGGTAAACAGCCAACTGTGTCGCACAACTCTGCTCTTGCATGCAGCAAAATAAGACACATTTTAACTCCGGCGGCGGGGAGAAAACAAATTAACCTTTAGATAATTCTTCATCTAATGAAAGAACTTCCCATAAAAAAATCTCTTTTCGGCAATTACTGAAAACTAATATGTGACCCGGCCGGTCAACATCAGTCATATGAAGGAAATTTCAAAACTGAGTTAACATTATTTTTTTTAATTATCAGCTTTTCCCTACATTCTAACAAAACAATGAAGTAAATATGACATTATTTAAAAAGAAATGAAAAACACAGAACTTTTAATGGTATGAGGTGAGAAAGCATGAAAAGGAGAAAATGACTTCCGAAGCTGAGCAACATGTTTCCATAGCAACGGGGGTCTTAGAATTGAGATAGAGACTTGGAATTTAGCAGTTATCTTGGCTACGCCACTACAAGGTAGCACACAGAAGTACAAAACTATTCATTTTCAGAGAAAAAAATTATGGACAAAACCAAATTTTTACGGGGAATGGACTTCATGTCAGAAGCAACAAAATGTTAGCATATGATTATACTAGGAACCAGATACTAAATTTTCAAAGTAGCTGTATGTCAAATTCATCTGTTTCATATGAAAGGCCTATAGCCCGCCATTCACTACACACTTCAAAAGGGTGCGCTCGTCTTCAGATGGTATCAAGACCAACTGAGTTCGATCTCAAAACCAAAACCTGGACTGCTCAGTAAAATATCTTAACAAACCGTGAAATCGCTTGAATTCAGAACGAGCCTGAAAATTATCTGTCGGATCGGAGATCAGGGTACTCAACGATAAAAATATATTGGTGCCAAAGTCAAAATTTTGCAAATCTGACTTCAGAATCTTTACAAGCGTCAAATTCTAGTGGGATTAGATACGAAACTGCTATCAAACGTTTGATGCTGTAAGGTAAATAAATTATTCTTTGGGTGAGCCAACTAGTTGTATTTTTCAAAGACAGCATGCTGAGCAAAAATCAACGTACACGAGGGTACTTTTTGTTGATTTTTCCTCAGCATTCAATACAATTTCATATTGCCATTTAAAAACAATTGAGTCAATTGTTGTCAGTATATCGCAGAATCGTCCCCGGAACTTTTGACAGGCAGACCACGATATGTTAATATGAACAACACAAAATCTGACACAATTCTGCAGGAATAGACAGATATATATAAATTCATTTGTACCAACTGCAATGAGGTTACTGAACACACAGTGCTACAAATAAAACATAGAGAGGTAGATAGATAGAGAGAGAGAAAGAGAGAGAGACAGAGAGAGAGACAGAGAGACAGAGAGAGAGAGCGTGAGACATGTATTTTTCTAAATATCCTGTCTTGTTGTGCGTATGTGTGAGTGCACCACATCCACTGTGATCGCAAGAGACTGGTAAATTGCTCTGCAGATTTCTGGAATTATTCCGCCAAAAGCTCGTGGTGAAATACACGTACTGAACTTCAGATCTTCATATGTTCTGCCAGTCGCCAGATACTTTTTGTGGGGTGATATTGCCTGTCGCATTTTCGTGTTCTGTTTTTCTATAAGGGGACCCACTATCAAAATAAATTGATGATATGTGTCCTCGTCCATACATAAATAATTTGTGTAATCCACAGAGTACAATGTCAATTCCTTTAGGTGCGTGTGGGTGAATTTCTCCCGCCGAAGAAGCCATTGTTAGCACCATAATTTTTTTTGCCTTTTTTTCTTCAGAGAAATACTTAAAACTATTCAGGCTGCAGCAACTTCATTTTGGGTAGGAGCCATTTTGATAATCTGCTGGCCTGTGTAGTGTGAGGGCACAAATGAGATCGCTCACTGATCCGATCGTCAGTTCATCTTGAGACCATCTTGAGACCATCTTGAGATCATCTCAAGACTATCTCAAGATCATCTTGAGATCATCTCAACTTGAGATCATCTCAAGATCATCTTGAGATCGGGAATTGCGTAGTGAGTGGCAGGCTTGAGTCTCCCGATAATTTTGGCACCATACTTTTACCTCTCATCAATTTTTACGAGAAAGGCAGCCTTTTCAATTTAATATAATAATCAAATATTGCTGAAGTCACAAACTGACTGCAACCCCATGTTGAACAGACAATAAAGAGTACCAAGAGCACCAAACATCTCTACATTAACAGAGTACAAAATGCCAAAAATATACCACGGGCAACCATGCTCAAAGTTGTATAGTTCTCCGCCAATGAAAAGACGGTATTTAATCATCAATTGTATAGTTCTCCGCCAATGAAAAGACGGTATTTAACCATCAATTTATCAAGAAAGCATTCGAATGCATGGGTGTCAATTTTGAACCGGCCGACTTCGCATTCCGACCTCAAGGGGCTTCCCTTTCCACGGCGATTCTCCAGCTCCAAATACTCGGATACAAATAACTTTCACTATGGTAACGAAGAAAATCTGAACTTTTTCAAAGTGCACAGCATTTGGTGTTTTATAGCAAAGGAGCAAAGAAACAGCCTTCTGAATTAGGCCTACCCCCATTTCACCGAAACCATGCGCTCGGAAGGCTGCAAGTCGGCCTTGTTTACGATAACTAATTATACGTTTGCAATAGCACCATAAACACATGAGAGCACGCACACACACATGCGCACACACCCACACAGATACACGTTCACACACACATACAAAAACACATCAACACACATACACACACATGCACATAGACCGCCTCAGTGGCCTCTTGGTAAGGAGTCCGCTTTAAGAGATCTAGAAAAAGGTTAATTAATCTCTTTTAAAAGCACTAAAACACAGTAAAAACGAACCTTTAAAGACAAACCAAGAGTAAAACTGAAAGATCAACAGACGATCACAGCAAGGAGGGCACGCCCAAACAGTCACCTGTTTACGTAAACAAGCTTGACGTGAGCTGGAAGTTACCGTTCTTACCCCGTTTAACCAATCAGAGCCCTCAGTCGTGCATAGTGACAACCGTTTGTTTATATTTCAGACCATTCATGTTCGAAAGGGGTTAAAATCTAAAAATAGTTGCGAATGAAGAACGTTGAAACAAAAGTGGCCATGAGGTAATGGTTCTATAAATAACCTCACAGTTACACATGAGCAAGGTCCAAATTCCTTTATCGCGTCTCGTCACCCAAGATCACAACAAACCACACACACCCCCAAAATAAATCAAAATAAAATATTTATACTCAATTATAGTTGTTTATTTTTATCGTAAATGAAGCAGAATATATTAAACTTTCAATAGATTAAAAAAAACAAAAATTTCATGGAAAGTCACTTTTTTTGCCTTTGGAGCCTCATAGCTGATAATAGAACACTGCGTCTTACAACTGACATTGCTCGTGGAAGACACATTTGATGTTGAAGTCATAGTGAAGAAATGTGCTCAAGCCGTTGCCAGCGACTCACCGGCATAGCGGTTCTGACCATGAACTACTGGGAGCGGCTTGCCAGAGACAAGGAGCTAAAGCGAAGTGCCTAAATGCCGTATTTTATTTTCATCTTATACTAATACCGTGAGAAAGCCTTTTCCTTTAGGCCAACTTTACAACTGCTCTTCAAAAATATTTCCTAACTCAGCAACTCCTTTCAGAGCACGGCACTTACAATTCATCAGGCTGCAAGCTACTTATCTAAGGTATCACATAAAGGAGAACAGGTACTATAGCCTTGATTCGACTATGTCTTAGGTGTCTCAGAGCTGAAATTTACTTTTTTTGACGAACTTTTTTATTTTATTGACTTTCTATGAGGCTTAGAAAACAACTTTATTCAGTCAATTCAGTATTTGGCTTTCAGCTTTTGGACAGATAAGTTTTTTCCCAGTTATCACAATAAAGCAATTTTAGTTTTAGTTTTTAGTTTTAGTAAGTGTTTTATGGCGCTCACAACTGCATAAGGTCATATGAGCGCCAGGAGATTAGAGGTGTTACAAAAGAGTAACAAACATAAAAAAGAAGAAAGGGAGATAAGGACGACAGATGTTTGATTGATAGGAAAGAAGACGCAAACCACACCAGAGCACCCGCCAACCACCCACAAAGTAATTTTAAACGGGGAAAAAAAATGTAAACAACATCAGGTTTATTGAGTGGTGCATTAACCTACAAATCATATGAAATGAACAGAGATACATCATGCTGTTTGGCTGTGATTTTCCCACCTACTGCATGTGGCTTTAAAACAATGCTTACCTTGAAGCTGGACAGACTAGGTGTGTAATCTTCACCAAGTTCCATGACCTATTCAGGACAAACAAAGAGTAAATTATAAACCAACTAGATCTAAACAAAATAAATAGTCGGGCACAGATAACATGAGCACAGAAAACTCGAAATCACGGATGGCTCATACAATTTGATATTCCCCGACTGATATTTTAATTTTTCCGTTATATCCATATATACCCAAATTGTGACTGTGTCGAACACATTTGTCAATCCCCAACATGTTTTAGTTATCTATGCCCAACTAAACTCCCATCTGTCAAATATACACCACATAAGACATGAATGCTATGATCACAATTAAATCTTAAATGTGTAAGACATTTACATACTGTCATCTTACTCTTCAAGAAGTCTTATCTCTGGTTCAATTTTGTTTCTGCATTTATAGTAGCACATGAAAGCATGAAATCAGCTAGATTCTATGCCCACTCATGTACACATGGAGTCTGTAGACAAAAGAGTCACAAAGAACAAAAACAACTTCCTACAGAGATTTTTATTATAACAATAATAATAAAAATGATTTTTAAAAATGTTTAAGAATAATAATAATAATAATAAAGACCACTTCAGTAGCACCTACTCCCTTGTGACTCTAGGCACTTCACAATAAAACTTTTTAAAAAGAAGAAAAAAAATATTTGTGAGGCAGCATGATGAAATCAGGCTCTTGTCAAAATAATGAAATCAAAGAAACCAGCATTCTCCCTCCTGCTCTTTTGGCAATTTTCATCAAATTTTTGGCCTTTGAAAAACACATCTCTGTGTGGATTTTACTGAAAAATGTTGAATAAATACATGCAAAATGTTATTTTGCCGTTTCCAAGGACTCTCAAGCTTTGGAAGTCACGTAACTTTGGCAGCCATTTTCTCACTAACTTTGGCTCTGAAACCTTGCAACCCCCACTTCCTTTAATTGCATCCATTTCTATTTAGGATAGACGAGTATTTTTTTTTTCAACGGAAAAACAAGACAAATGAACAGGCTATAAGATTATACCAATAAATTCATATATGCCCAAAAACTGACGAGGGCCTGATTCACCGCGTCATGTCACATAAAAAAAATTATACAGCTTGCACCATGACACATTTTGTGCATACTGGCCCATTCAATGTATAACAACCCTTTCATGCACCGGTAATTTGACAGAAGAACATAAATAATCGAAAAGACTATCACTGAGGTTGCTGATCAAACTTAGAAGAAGAATCAACTAGTTAGTTTGTAAAATAGTGTAGGGTTTTGTACATAATCGTACAATTTTTACTCAAAATTCAATGTTTTTTGTTTTGTTTTAGTAAGAGTTTTACTGCACTTGCAACTGGTTTATATAAAGTGCAGAAGATTTGGTATCACTAGAGTGTAATATACAAAGAAAAGAAGGAGGAGAGATAAGGATAATAGAGATAAAACATATTTAATAGGAAAGAAGGAGCAAATCACACCTGAGTACCTGCCAACCACCCATTCAAAGTCTAAAAAAAGAGCCTAACATGTCAACAGGTCCAATAAAATATAATGGTTATCTTGTTCCATGGAAACGGCAAGAGAAACAAACAGAAACAAAAGTAGTAGTAGTAGTACAGGGTTTTACGGCGCTCGCAACTGCATAAGGTCATATGAGTTTAATATAGTGTAAAGCGCATAGAGCCTGCTGTTGAGCGGGGATATGCGCTATACAAATGCTATTTATTATTATTATTATATGAGCGCGCGAAACACAAGTTGGTAGCATTCGCAACAGTTCACTGCACGGTTGGTCGACAATTAGACTTTAAAATGCTAAAATACTAAATTTCAGTGTAAATATATTTGCGATTTAAAACAACTCTTATAAATAACAATTTTAAAAAATTTTAAACTATATTGTTTCACTTTACAATTTGCCATAAAGGCCAATGGCCTTCATAAAATTAAAAATTCTGCTGGGACCACAGACGGAAAAAATGTCTTGCAATTTCTTGCATTTATAATATTTCCTTCGGATCTCTCCAAAGTCTAGACATTCGTTTAAGATGTGTCTAACGGTAAAATCTGTGTCGCATCCGACACAGAACGGCTTCTCATCTCCCTGTAGGAGGTATTTGTGGGTCAGGGCCGTGTGTCCGATGCGCAATCAAGTAAAAATGACTTCGTCTCTTCTGGGGAGGTCTGAAGGATTTCGCTGTTTCAATTTGGGTTTATTGTTTTTTTGTTTTTCCCAGTGGCTCTCCCACAGACTGGAGGTGTACTTTTTGACTTTATTTTTAAAGTCAGTCTGTGAGAAAGTGTTTGTCATTGATCCCAGCAGAAGGGATGAAGCTTTCTTCGCCAGGTCGTCTACCTGCTCGTTTCCTCAGATGCCCACATGGCTAGGTATCCATGCGAACATGATGTTTTTTCCGTCTCTGATAGTGTGTGAATTTTCTGTTGTAGCCTATTTTTGGGTGTAAGAGTTGTAGTTTGTGAGTGAGGTGATGCAAGACAGAGAGTCAGAAAGGATTAGGAAAGATTTGTTTGGAGAATTTTCTACGGAGTCCAGTGCCATGTCAATGGCAGTGGCCTCCGCAGAGAAAATGGAGGCTTCAGGATGGAGTCTCCTCTGGTGTGTACTGTTGGGAGATAGGGCTGGTCTTTTTTGGAGCCATCTGTGAAGATGAGCTCCGCACCGGGGTATTCATCTATTAGTTTTTTGTATTCTGCTTTAATCTGCTTTAAAAGTTTTGGTGTTTGTGCTTTCTTTGTTGTGTGTGGTCAGCTTTTGCCTTCTTTTGCCTTGGTGAGGTGCCACGGAGGGAGGTCGGGGAAAAGAAATTGTTGGATGTCTTGTTTGGAAAAGTGTAAGTTTTTGAGGTCCTCAAGGATTCTGAGGCCGAAGGGTTTGATGAGTTTTTCGTTGTTTTGGAATCTGTTTATGGTTTCAGGGTTTGTTTTAAAAAAGCAGTTGTGCGCTGGATTTTCCGGTGTTGAGCTCTGTTTAATTGCGTATTGTAGTGAGAGTTGTGTGCGTCTGAGTGAGAGTGGTGGTATGTTGGCCTCGGCCTGGAGGCTCTCCACCGGAGAAGTGCGGAAAGCCCCCACAGCGAGGCGGAGTCCTTGGTTTCGTACTGGGTCTAGCATTTTTAAGATGTGTGGTTTTGCCGATCCATAGACTTGACAGCCGTAGTCAAGCCTGGACCGGACAAGGGAGATGTACAAGTGGAGAAGGTGTTTTGAGTCCCCGTCCCACTCCAGATGCGATAGAATTTTCAAAGCGTTTAGCGCTTTCTGGCACCTCACACGAAGGTCTTTGATGTGTGGTATGAATGTGAGTTTTTAGTCGAAAATGACGCAGAGGAAACGAGCTTGGTCCTGGACGGGAATCCTTTCCCCGTATAGTGTCAAATCCGGCTGCAGCATTACTGTTTGCCCACTTTTCGAGTTTGTCTTTCCTTAGATCTTCAAAGAGGATTTTTCGAACAGCAGCATATCAAAAAGTCGTCAACGTATAACGAGCTGTCTATGCTGTTTTGGAGGGGTTTTACTATGGAATTTATTTTAATTTCGAATAGGAGAGGAGAAAGGATGCTCCCCTGGGGGACTCCCTCCTGTTGGTGGGGGTCTGAAAGGGAGGACCCGACACGAACATGGAAGGAACGGTTCTTCAGGAAGTTGCCAATGAAGGCAGGGAGGTGACCGCGTATGCCGAGTGCGTGCAGGTCTCGAAGAATGCCGTACTTCCAGGTTGTGTTGAAGGCTTTTTCTAGGTCGAAAAAGATGGCCACCATGTGGCCTCCTTCAGCAAACGTCTCGCCTATAAAGGTCTCCAGGCGGACCAGGTGATCAAGAGTGGATCGAGTTTTCCTGAATCCGCACTGGAGACCGCTCAGCGAGCCCGTCGTTTCCAGAAACCACATGAGTCGCCTGAGGATCATTTTTTCAATGAGTTTGCAGAGACAGCTCATTAGTGCTATTGGTCTGTAATTGGATGGGTGTGTGTGGTCCTTGTTTGGCTTGGGTATTGGAATGACAGTGGCGAGACGCCAAGACTCCGGAAAGGAGTGCGACCGCCACATGTTGTTGTATATGTTTAGTAGGAGTGTGAGTGTTTCTGAGGGTAAGTGTCTAATGATCTGGTTGTGGATGTCATCCGGTCTCGGGGCTGTATTGCCCAGGTCCGAGATGCACAATATTAGTTCGTCTATTGTGAAGTCTGCATTGTAGGTTTCAGTGTTGTTTGAGAGGAAGTTTAGGTGTTGTTTTTCTCTGTTAGTGTTAGTTTTGATGTTTTGAAAAGTGGTGTTGTAGTTTGCTTGGGATGAGTTTTTGGCGAGAGATGTAGCAATTGTGTTTGCGATGTCTACTTGTGTTTCAGCTGTGGTTCCATCCGGCCTCTGGACGTGCCAAATGGTGTCTGTGCTTCTACCCAAGAATTTTTTAGCAATTTTGAAAACTTGATTGAGTGGTGTCTGGCTGTTGATTTTTTAGATGTATTTTTTGAATGATTGTCTTTTACTCTCCCTGAGGCATCTACGTGCCACAGCTCGAGCCTTTAAATTGTTTATCTTGTTTTCTGTGGTGGTGTTGTTGACGTTTTTTTCGATACGCTGCCTTCTTTTTCTTTACTGCATCCTCACATTCCCAAGAGAACCAGATATTGTTCCTCTGGGGTTTTGTTTTTGTTTTTGGTATGTGTTTTTGGCATATTTCTAAAAGCTTTTCGTGGAATTTATTGTAGTTGAGGTCGAAAGTGGGGTTCAGAATCTGGGAACATTGATTGGCAAACCCGTTCCAGTCTGCTTTTTTTTAAGTTGAAGCGTTTGGGACCGGGTCGTTTTGGAGGCTATTGTTTTTTAGAAGAATTGGGAAATGGTCCGTACGGTCTCCAGCACAGACCCCTCAAGATCTGGGACTAGGTCAGGGGTACAAAAGGTGAGGTCAAGAGATGAAGTGCCATAGGTGGCTCTGTTTCTGTAAGTTGGGGACCTATCATTTAAGAGACAGATGTTATTTTGAAATAAAAAATGTTATATTATTTTTCCTTTCTGGTCTGTAGGTTTGTCTCCCCAAAGGGGGCTGTGGGCATTGAAATCACCTAGCAAAATAAAAGGTTTTGGAAGCTGAGCCTTTAAGTCATTTAGTTGGGTTAATTTGAGAGGGTAATTTGGTGGGATATAAATTGAGCAGATCGTGATTGGTCTGTGCAGGGTGACCCGTACGGCAATAGCCTGGAAGGTCGTCTTAAGATGTACTTGTCTATGGAATGTGTTGTTGTCGGTGTAGATGGTGGTACCACCGGAAGCAATCTGGTTCTCTGTGTGAATGTGATGATACGCAGTAAATCCTCTTAAGTCTATGGTTGAAGCCGGGGCGAATTTTGTTTCTTGTATACAGGCCACACGTGGGCACAGTGTGGCCTGTAAGTGTTGCAATTCTGCAATGGAAGGTCGGATTCCGCCGGCATTCCATTGCAGGACCGCCATTATGACTTTTTAGTTTTTATTTTGGAGCTCAAAGGCCCCGGCTTCGAAGAAACACTCTGACTCTTCCTAGCGGGGGAGGTAGAGTGTTTTCTAGGTTGCCGTCCTGGATTGGACGGCGGTCTAGTGGGGGATTTGGAGGAGTGACAGACTCCGCCCTTCCCGGGGTCAGGCCGGGGAGGGGGGTCGGAGCTGTCTTCCTCCATAGGCAGGGGTTTGTCTGCTGGAGGGGTAGGGGGAGGTTGAGCAGACGGAGGGGGCTGGGAAGGGGGGGAGGGGGCTGGGGGGAGGGGAGAAGGCCCACTTCACACTCCATCAGAGGGATGGGCTGTGAGGTGGAAGAAGAAGGAGAAGAAGAAGAAAAGGGGATAGAAGAGGGGTGAGGAGAAGAAGAGGGGGCGGAGGAAGAGTCCTCCCCGTCCTCCCTTAGAACCCCATAGCGGTTAGAGAGTGGCACCTCAAAGGGGGTTGCCACAGGGATAGAAGCGGGCTTTTTGTTCTTAGGCACAGAGACTTGCCTGTTGACCGCGGGCTTTGGGAGGTCGGCAGTAGAATTACTTGCCGACCTCGTGACCATCTGGGCTGCCTTTGAATATGATGACCGGCCAATGACTGGGGTTGTGATTGGCGGGCAGACAACCTTACGGGCCTCCTGGAAGGAGCAGCCATTTCGCGCCTTGTATTCCTGGATGGCGCGTTCTTGGAGCCAAGTCGGGCACTCCTTGCTGAAAGCTGTGTGCTGGCCGTGGCAATTGGGGCAACAAGGACTAGCCTTGCATTCCTTCTCAGAATGCCCGGTCTTGCCACAACGAAGACACACGGCTGCGTGACTGGCTATGGCCGAACTTCTGACACTTGAAACAGCGCAGAGGGTTCGGCACATAGGGTCGTACGTCGAGTACCAAGTAAGATGCCCGAACCGTGGCTGGAGGGCGACACGATTCAAATGTGACGACAACCGTGTTCGTCTCAATAGTAGTCTCCCCCCGCCGAAGAGTAATCCGGCGGGCTTCGACCACTCCCTCACAGTGCTCCACAATCTCCTCCATGGAGCAGCCTATCAGCTCATGGCTGCGGACCACGCCCTTCGAGCGGTTAAATTTCTGGTAGTGCTCGGACTTACATGGAATACTGCCGAAGGTCGTGGTATCCAGGAGTTTGGTCACTTCGTTCTCGGTTGCGCACTTGACAAGGAGTGCACCACAGGAAAGTTTCTGTACACATGTGGGAATGTATCACAGAACTTTCCGTAGTGCATCTCCTGTCTTAACAGGTTGAGATCGGTAATTCTTCTCTGTGCGTCTTTTGAACTGGAGATGGCCACGTACGGTTGCCTCAGAAGCTCCTTGGGAGGAGGGAGGAAGGAGGCATCGGTTAAGGTCCTTTTACCATTTTTTAAACTTTTGCTCGGCTCGGCGGCCGCACCCGCTTCCGCGAGCCGAGACTTTTTCACGTTGGGAGCTGGGGAAGGGTCTTTAGGGTTTTTAGAATCCATGAGAGCTTTTTATTTGATTAGACTCCGGGGCTCCCCGCCCGCCACGGAGCCCAACAAGGGGACACATTGCTCGGATGACCAGAGCTGTGCCAGGGCTACCCTGGAGCTATACTCTCAACGAGAAAGTACAAGACCCTCAAGTCAAGATTGACCCAGGGCTTGATGGGGTTTCAGCTCTCAACCGATTGAGTGGCATGGGCCGTGCCACCCTCCCGTCTAAGAGGAAAACCAGGGCCAAAGAGGTGTGTTGGCAAGGTACAGTCCCTGGACAGATCTCACCTCAACCACCAGGTACCCGGTTTCCCTCCGCACGGGTCGCAACTCACTCTCAACGAGGCGCCCACTCTGTGGGATGGGTGACCTCTCGTTTTGCTGCACATGAGGTCAGCGGTGGTAGGAAAGATAGAAAAAGAAAGAAAGAAGGAAGGAGAAGAGGAAGATACACCAAAGTAAGTGTCGAACACGGATCCCAGAGGGTTGGGGTCCTTGTGCGACACTTCGCCTTTGAGGGGGTTGCACCTTCTGCAGACGAAGCAGTGGGTCTATTTATATCCCCCCGACCCACTGGGTCAAACAAAAGAAACAAAAGGGCAGTAGCATCAGAGAAATGTACAAAAGAACTAATTGAAAGAATACATGCTTGACTTACATAACTTACTAATTAGTAACATATTAGGCGTTAAAAATCAGATGTTCTAAAGCGTAACTACCTTAAAAGCAACGATATCCCCTAACTGCGGTGGACCTTCCAGCACTGGAATCTTCTCACACTCAATACCCACTGGCGTCACTTCAATTCTTCTGTCACCAGACAAGTGTCCACTTCTGTCAAGAAGTTTTCTGGTATCATGGTGGTTCTTTGAATCATTCTCCACTTGCTGTGAAACCTACACACAAAAACAACAAGATTCAAGCACTGACAACTACATTTGACACATGACATATCGTCCGCCAACTATTAAAATGTACTAAGCTAAAAATATTGAAAAATCATCTTTCACTTGCAATTTCCTAATCTGTGGTATCAGTCGCATGTGCTCATAAAGATATTTTGTCAAAATTTAAATTCTAAATGTTGAAAAATGCAAGTACAGAAATACTAATGAAGGTACAGTTTTTAAAAGAATGAAACTGGTTTTTTTCATTCTCCTGCACAATTTTCAACGATATGATAGAGGGAGTGGGTAAGCAGGGTTTGAAGTCAAATCGATCAAAGCTTAAAACCAAAAAGATATCAACAAATATAATCAAACTCGTTACCTTCCTCCTTTTGATGTGAATTATATTCCTAACTATGCCACTACTATACTCATCGAGGAGACCAGAAGATCAAAAACAATCTCTCCACTCTGTTTATGATACTTTATCTCTCTCTCTCA